AATTCCTCAGGTTCTGATGGGAGCACAGGGTTCCCCCCAACCCTGCGTGGACCCCCTCCCCCCCTCGCCCTCCCCCAGCAGCACGGGTGTCCCCCCCACCCAAATGGGGACGTGGCAAACTCAGGGGAACTGGGGGGGGTTTCCCAGCCCCTTTTTGCTGGTGGGGTGGGAGCATCCCCCCCCAAAAAAAGCTGGAAGTGCCCTTTGGCTGCATGGCACCCAGCAGAGCTGCACTCTGAGGGTCCATCCCAGCCACCCCCCTCCTCCTCCCACCCTGGGTTGGGCACTTTTAGGGGTGCAGAGTTCCATGTGTATACAGCCACTGGGATTTGGGGTTCTAATTATCTTCACCCCTCCTCCCCCCCCCCCTCATTTTTTGGAGAGAGCGCATGTCGCCTCCTGCTTTATTTCTCTTATGCATATCAATTAAGAAAAAAAAAGTAATTAAAAAAAAAAAAGTTTCTCTGGGGTTTGGAAAGGAACGGGGAACAGCTGCAGACATTCATCCAGCAGGCACATCTTAACTCAGGTAAAAACGGGGGGGAGGGGGAAGGGGAAAAAAAAAAACAAAAACAAAAAAGGAAAAGAAAAAACACAAAAGACCAAAAAAAGAAAAAAGGACAAAAAAAGAAAAAAAAAAAAAAGACAAAGATAAAACCACATTTCTACCTCTGAAAGCGGCGGCTGTGGGCGGTCCGTCCCACGTCCAGCTGAATATTTCAGTTTTGCAAACGTTCAGGTATTGAAACTTTTGATTATTAAAAATAAATAAATAAATAAATAATAAAAATAATTAAAAAAAAAATTAAAAAAAAAAAAAGAGAAAATAAAAACACTGAAAGTTTACATTTTATAATAACATTATTATACAGATTGTATTTAAGCTGCAGAATATTTAAGACAATTGTAACCCTGTAAAGTTGATGAAATATTAAAAAAAGAAAAAAAAAAAAAAGATAATTAAAAAATAAATGGTTGTGTGAATTTTGTGTCCCCTCCTCGGGGCTGTGGGGGGGTCCCAGGGGGTTCACATAGGATATCAATGGGGTGAACAGTGCCAGCGGTCCCTGCGCCCTATGGTTCCTATAGGACCCCACGAGGCACCCTGCGGTCACCCACCCACACCCCGACCACGCTGCAGCCCGCTGAACTTCCGGTCCATCTGGCCCCGCCCACCGGCGGTGCCGCTCTTGATTGGGCGCCGCGGCGGAAGGGCGGCGCTCTGCGCGCCAGCCGCGCTCTCTCTGGCCCTGGCGGACCGCGAAGATGGCGGCGCCCATGGAGGTGGCGTTGGTGTCGGACGCCGCCGGGCCGCTTTGCAATTGCTCGGTTTGGGAGCTGCATTCGGGTACCGCTTTGCCCGGTTATCGCGGTGGGAACACCGGCCCGCGCGGGTTGGTGCTGCTGGGAGGCGAACACCTGCTGGGAGCCCAGCTGGGCAAGAGCTACATCAACGTGTGGGAGCTGCAGAGGAAGGTACCGGCGGCGGAGGGCGTGGGGAGAGCGGTGGGGGGGCGACCCGGGGAACCCCTCCGTAGGAGTCTCACCCTGCGCTGAGCCCCCCCAGGGTCCCTCTATCCGTAGACCTCCACCATCTCTATGGTCAGACGCCCCCTCCTTAGGGCCCCCCCGGCCCTGTGCTGAGTTGTCCCCAGGGCCCTCTTGTCAGCAGGGATCCTCATATGGGCGCTGGGATCCTCTCCAGCTCCCCCCCCTTCTGCAGAGTCCCCCCAGCTCTGTGCTGGTAGCCCTCCAGAAGGACCTCCATCTCTTTGGTGGGGCATTCCTGCTCTGTATTCTCCATACAGACGTCCCATGGTCAGATCCCCCACCTCCTCTTCCATATAGCCCCCCCACTCTGATCAGGTTCCTGAGTCCCCCCTGCACTCCACAACACCCCCACATAGTGCTGTTTAACCCTGGATCCCCCTCCCCCCCACAGTTCTTGGGGAGAGCCTGGAGCTCTCTTACAGGGGAGATCCCCAGACATTGCTATAAAACTGTTCTCAAAGAGGAATTAATTCTGGGGTTCCCTTCCCCAAATGCAGCGTTGCCCCAACTGCTCCTGCATCGTGTGGACACTGCTGGGAGCCCCACACTGTGCCCCACACATGGGGCAGCAGCACCGCTGGGATCTGTGCCCGCACGTTGTGGGATCCCCACACTGAACCCCATGGGGCACTGAGGGTCTTCTCCAGTCTGGGAGGATTTGTCAGGGGAATTATGGATAAAACCTCTGCCTCAAAACCCCCATCCTGTTATTGAAAATGGGAAATCTGGGGGCTCACACTTGGCCTGACAGACCAACCCCTCACCGCCCCCCCCTTCCCTCCAGGACCACCCTATTATCAGCTAGGACAGGACAGCAGCACAAACCCTTTGCCCCACAGCTGCTCTCTCTCTGTTTCTTGTCATTCCCTTCTATTTTGCTGCAGGGAGCAGCAGCAGCCCATGAGTTTGAGTACACACACAACCCCTTCCTTGCTGCAGCTTGGAGTTTGTTCCTGCCTGCTTCAGTTCCCCCAAACCAAGGGCTGATGGCAGAGCTTTTTGTTTCTCCTCCCAGGCTGTGAGCTCAAATCATCATCTTTTCTTTTTCTTTCTTTCTTTTTTCCCTTTTTAATTCATATTATTTTGGTGTAATTTTAGCTTGTTTTCTGCTGAAAATGCCGAACAATTAAGTGGGCTTTGTGCAATCCTAGAGACTGCACTTCTCCACTGCCTCTTCTCCTGTGTTCCAGTTTGAGCTGAACCACACTCTGCTTTCTCTTTTCCTCCCCAAATTCCCATCCATACTAAATGTCTGCTGTTGTCTTTGTGTTCCCAGGACCAGCTCCAGCAGAAGATCATTTGTCCTGGACCAGTGACCTGCCTAACAGCTTCTCCCAACGGGCTCTACATCCTGGCTGGTGTTGCTGAGAGCATTTACCTATGGGAGGTGAGGAACACACCCTGCCCATGCAGGGCTTAGTGTGGAGCTCCTGAGCTCACAACCCCTCGAGGCACAGGAATGGGTCTGCATGACACCCATGATGAGGGTTTTCCAGCATAGTGCTTCCTCCCTCACTTTTCTGGGCCTGGGGTCTGACTCCTCACATTTGCCATAAGACTTTGCAGTTATTTGTGGTCATCTTTTGGCATCTTGTTGGTGCTGTTCTCTCTGGCTTCAAAATTGTGCACGGATGAAGTGTCTGTTTGAAGGCTCCTATAAATCATTGGGATCCCTGTGTAGATTAAAGTGATCTGGATCCGAGGGAAGTGAAAAATCCCAGCAGTCCTGGAGAGAAGAAGGTTTTTGTTTGGATCCGTGATGGATTAATAAGGGTCTGTTGTGCTGAAGGGAATGGAAATGTAAAGATTTGCATCCTCTGTGGATAGTGGCTGCCCTAGTCCTGCCAGGTGTGGATAGATCCATGATAACTGTGCTGCACAGTGGAGTCAAAGCTTCTCTGGGTCATGTGCATTAGAGATCCACGCTGGGGCTGGCTGCCCAGCAGCTTGTCATAGCAGGGTGGGAGATGAGTGTTGCTGGAAGAGGCTGGCTGAGGTTTAGGTCTTTTTGTTTTGGAGCTGCAACAGATGCTTGGTGTTGTGAGCTCGGGTGCAGAAATCAAGACTTAGTGTTCATTTAGCATCCCTTCCAGATACTGGCCTAATGTTTGTATGTGACTTGTGAGCTAGATGTCCCTACAGGCTGATATATTCTGGTCATCATCCTGTTTTCAATTAGTGGTGGTGTTTACGTGGGATTACGCTATGTTCTAAGAGCTTCACCAAGTAAATAAAAGAATACAGCTTGTTTTCTAGCCCCAGGATTAAAGACCAATATGTCTAACCTGTAAACCTCTCAATCTTGGGGGAATGGTTTTGAGCCTTATTACGTGGGTGGCTCTATCTTAATTCATCAGGGAACACTGAGGCTGAGACTGCAGCAAGTAGGAGTTGCTTACTTGTGATGCTCTGAGCTGGTTTCTGCTCTGCTTCATCTGCAAAGCGTGGTCCTTTCTCCTTGCTTCCAGTTAGCCTTGCCTTGGCAATGTTTCAGAGCAGCTGGCAGCAGTGGGTGATGGCAGAGCAAACAGGCACACATTGGAGAGGCCACATGGAAACCATCATAGAGCTGGAAATGGGATCCAAGAGCCCCATTTATCCACCTGCTCTGCAAAACCACTTGTTCACTGTTGAATTGCAGTTTGCTTTTATTTTTAGATACAATTCAGACAATGAGAGGGAGTTGATTCTGTTCTTTTCTATGGGGCTCCCTCGCCACCTCCTTAGCTCCCTCCCTATCAGCAGTGTTGCCTTTTAATAAGAAAAGCTCTGAGTTTGGGGAACTCTTTGTCCACCCTGGAGGTCCTCTTGGTCTGAGAGCACCCACCCTGGGTGGAATGCAGCAGCCCTCTGTGGCTTTGTAACCCCTGCAGCCATCGCGTGCCTTCAATCTGAGCGCTGAGATGCCATGGGAGGTTGGAGGAAGCCATCAGAGTAATACTAACAATAAACAGGAAATCTTTACTGAGTGCTTGTATCTCAACCAGAGAAACTGCAGTGCTGTCACCGGATTCCAGAGTCACCGTGGCCAGGACCTGCTCAAACTGCTTCTCGCTGTGTTTACTCCTTGCTGAGTGTTCTCCTGCCCTTTCCTCAGGTCTCCAATGGAAACCTCCTGGCCATCCTGAACCGACACTACCAGGACCTCACATGCCTCTGCTTCACTGATGACAGCAGCCACTTTCTCTCGGGGGCAAAGGACTGCCTGGCGCTGGTGTGGAACTTGTACAGGTAACAGTGGCCACAAGGACATCTTGGTCTGCTCATTTTGGGAGCAGAGAGCATCTGGGCAAGGAATACAGCATGAGATCAGCCACCACATCCTGGAGGCAGGATCGGCTCTGCTTAAGCCTACATCTATAAGCTGTTCTTAAAGCTTACTAGTGGTGATGAGTCTGTGCCCTCCTTAGGCAAGTTGTTCCAGTGTTATCCTATCACAGCATATCCCTCTGACTGCCTTTCTCCTTTTAACAAAGGGTGGGTTGTGCCCTTCCCCAGATAATGGCAGCTGAGTGCTCTGTCTCCTGGGGTGGGGAATCTCTCTGGTGCCCACTCTCCTTGTGCTGTGGCTGCTGACCACTTCTGCCTTCAGCTTGATTCCTACACACACACAGGCGGCAGAGCCTTGGCCAGCTCTCCCTCACAGCTGCTTTACTTTGGTATCCCCAGCACTGCTGACCCTTTTCTTTGTTTTCTCCCCTCCAGTGTTCTACAGGCAGAGCCCTCCCAGATCCCAGACCCTCGCCACGTGTGGTCCCGACACAGCCTCCCCATCACAGACATGTGCTGTGGCTTTGGAGGACCTTTGGCACGAGCTGCCACCGCATCCCTTGACCAGACAGCAAAGGTAAGGCTTGAACCAGTCTGGACAAAAAAGTGTCCCAGAGGTGTGCACACCCCAGAGGGTTGAAGCTGAATTTCTGCAGAGCTGTCCGTGCGGGTTGCAGTCGCTCAGTTTCTTGGCTGCCTCTGTGATGACTCAGAGCTGCCAGACCTAATGAGTTTTGCCTCTCCAAACACCAGCGGTTTCTCTGCTCCTGCCCTCAGACCAGGGCTCCTCGTGCTTTGTCATCTCTATTGTCCCTGGAGGGTGTGGGGATCGTTTCCTCTCATCTCCCTTTTCTGCTGTCCCTTCGATCTGGAAGGACGTGGAACACAGAGCTGGCTCCTCTAGGCACAGCCAACTCCAGAGCTGGAGCTGGGAGGGATCCACTCTGGGAGATGAGATGGGTACAGGAAGGTCAGGGGCTGGTTCAGAGCTGCTGAGGAGCCTCGTTGCCTCCAGAGTCTCATGTGGATTTTGTCTTGGTTAGTGTGGGACTTAGCAAGCGACCCAGGGCAGGCCAGCTTGTGCCTCAGTTTCCCCATCCACAGTGGGATGGGATGCTGGCATGTGCTGCCAGCTTGCTGCTGGGCATGTCAGTGCTGGTAAGCAGCAGCGTGTTCTTCCAGTCAAGCAGTGAATGTTTAAGCCCCTAATTCTCCTGCATTGTCTTATTCCAGCTCTGGGAAGTCTCATCCGGGGAGCTCCTGCTTTCAGTCCTGTTTGATGTGGGGATCATGGCTGTTACCCTGGACCTCTCAGAGTATCACATGTTCTGTGGTGGCATGGACGGATCCATATTCCAGGTTGACCTCTGTGCCTGGGTGAGTGCTGGGGCTGCAGGACTGCTTGGCACTGCCATTGTGTGGCCCAGCTTTGGTGTGGCACTGTGAGCCACTGCCACCTCCTTCCTGTTTGACAGTGTGATCTGTCAGGGAACCCCTGTGTTCCCCTGCACCTCCTCTGCCCTGTCCAGACACACCAATGAATCTGCTGCCTTCAGTCTTGCTGAACTCAATCCCCTCTCACTCTTCCTTCCATCCTCCACGTCTGCAGCCAGTCCAGAGAGACCGGACCTTCCAGACAGAGCGGGAGAATGGGAAGATCTTCAAAGGGCACAGGTGAGATACCAGACATACCTACCACGTATTTCACTGCCCACCTCACTGGTTTCTGGCAGACCTTGGGTCATCCTGAGTTTAAGCATCCCTTCCCCATTCCAGGAACCAGGTGACGTGTCTGTCCGTCTCCACGGATGGCAGCCTGTTGCTTTCTGGCTCACACGATGAAACGGTGCGGCTATGGGACATCCAGAGCAAGCAGTGCCTGAAGACGATGAATCACAAAGGTAGGCATGCCCTTATCTCCATGATCCTTTCCTCCTTGTCTGTTAAAAGCTGCTGCTGTTTTGCTCTGACGCTGCCCTCGGCAATTCAGGCATTTCTATGCTGCTTGTTTCACCCTTTTGGGAAGGGCAGAGGCATTAAAGGGATGCCTTAGCTGTCTGGAGTGGGGTTTTGACCTTGCCCATGTCTGTTAACAAGCTCTCTGTGCACTGTCAGAAAGTGAGTCACAGATTTCACCCAGCCGTTGAGGAAGTCCAGGATCTTGTTTTCCAAAGGGAGCAATTCTCCCAGACACACCCGAGCACTTGAGGAGGAAATGAGAGGGGGAGAATGTGTCTGAAGGAGAAACCGTGGCCTCAGCAGCAGGCACCCATGAGCTCATTAGGTCTGAATAGAATACGATATCAGCAGGCTGGGATTTCAGGCAAATGGCTCCAATAAACCACGCAGACCAAAGCTTACAAGCTCATGTGAGCAGTGAGGTGCCTCAGAGCACTGGGTGATTTAGCCAGGTGTTGCAGGCCGTGAGATCCAGGCTGTATGCAGACCCATTCCTTCTTTCCTTCTGCTTTTCTGCCAGGGACCTGCTGCAGCAGCCATCCAGCCTTGCCCTGCTAGCAGTACAAGAGAAAGCAGGCAAAACTTGAGCTGTGTGAGTCATCAGAGGAGAGGTGGCCAAACTTTCACTGCAAGCCAAACATTAAAACCCTCCTCAAGCCTGCAAGGGAGCACAGTCAGACAGAAGCCCCTGCAGCACCGCGCTGCTGGGTGCCAGGGCTGGAAGGCGAGGGGGCTTTTTGCATCCTCTACAGACTGGCTTCTTCCTACAGGCTGGGACTGGGCTTCCCCAGCAGTGCTGGCACCATTACCACCCCGCTGATGCCTGGATGTTTCATCTGAGTGTGGGAACAGCGTGGGAGTGGGATGTAATGTGGGAGCTGTACTGTGGGGAGCACAGGAGCAGGGGCTCTGTGCTGTGACCCGGCACACCACCAGTTCTCCTTTGCTTTCCTGCATCAGGAATGAGGGACTCCTCTGTCCCCGAAGCTGCCTCTCTCCTGGAGCTGTCCCAGCAGTGGGCTTCCTGCTCTCAGGCTGTGGTTTCCCCTTTGCCTTCCCCTCTGCCTCTCCAAGCTGCAGCACAGCCCTCCTGGCAAGGTCTGTTCCATGCTGCTGTTCTGCTGCCCCTCCAGCATGTTCCCTTTGCGAGGCGAAGCTGACATGGGCTTCTCTGCCACAGCTGACATGACAGCCACCCCCGGCCTGCTGTGCTCTGGACAATGACGTCCGTCTGCTCACAGGGGCAAAGGAGGCAGCTGCGGGCAAAGGAGAAACCAGTGGCATCCCCACATGATGGTGCTGGAAATAGATGAGAGGAACTGGACGTGGCTCAGGGCTGGAGAGGAGCGTGGCTGTGCTGGCAGGAAGGATGCAGGGGGCTTCTCCAAGGTTTGCTCGTCCTTGGTTAGGGCAGAGCGCAGGAAGAGAGACGGGCACTGAAGAGTTGTGCTGCTGCTGGTAATGAGCTGTGACTGCTGGGGCAAGGGCTGCTCTCTGCCACTGCAGAGCATCTGCTGCTCTGTGCACAGGTACTGCTGCACAGGGAGCCTGCAGAGCTCTGAGCCAGTGGGCCATGGTGGGAGCCCTGCCCCCAAATCTCACTGGATCTCAGTTCCCTCATCGTGCCAGCACTGTTCTTGGTGACACGGGCTGTCTCTGAGGACTGGCTCAAACGAGGCAGTGTGTGTGTGCTCCATCTGAGTCCATCCTGCTGGCACCTGTCTTGGAGCTGGATTATTTATTCTCCCTCAGTCCCATGCTGGCAGGACATTACTCACTGCCCAGTGCTGAGCCGTCCCTGATGATGGGGCTGGAGGGGATGAGCTGGGCTGGCTCTGTTGGTGGGGTCTGTGCCTCAGTGGTGACCAGATCTGGGGGCTCATGAGCTAGTTCTGAGATCTTATCCCTGCACCTTTCTTCCTCCCTTCTTCTTCTTCCAAATAACCCCTGGTGAGCCAGAGGTGGTAATCTCACTAATGGCTCTTTTCATTACCGGCAGCAAACTTCTTTTTTAGGGAGGGAGCAGTGGTTTGTTCCAGCAAAGCATTGGCAAGGAGCAGCTGCAGAGGGCAGCCTGGGACTCCTGGCTGAGCACCCTCTGGACAGAGCGTGTGGCAGAGCATTGGTTTGCAGGCCAGGACCCAGCGTGCAAGGAGGGCTGAGCTTTGGGGCCATCTCTGCTCTCACTTGGGCTGCTCATCTTTCCACTTCAGAGGTGCTTCCTTAGCACAGACCCAGAGCATCAGGCTGCTCCAGCCCCCAGGCTGGGTTTTCTTCCCTGCTGTGCAGCTTTCTGTGCCTCTGGTGGCAGCCTGCCTTCGCTCAGGTGCATCTGGATCCTTTTAACCTTTCCCTTTGTGCGGTCGACTTGAGGTGGAGAAGATGGATGGCCAGGATTTATGAGCAGTGCTGGAGCTCCATTCACACACAAGCTGGGGGCTGTGGGGGGCTGAGAGCCACAGGGGCCGGAGGTCCTGCAGCCAATGCAGGGATATGGGGAGCAGTGGGAATTTGAGTGTGAGCTCGCAGCGGGGGGCGGAGGGGGCTGCTGACAGAAAGCAGCAGCCTGTGTGGGTAAATGTAGTAATTAAAGCGCTCGTTAGCTCTGCCAAACGAGTGCATGTGATAGATCATTACCAGGAGGCAGCAGCGTGAGCCGCAGGGGCTGACGGATGGCTGATGCTGCAGAGGATGGGTGGATCACTGTGTGTGTGTGTGGGGGGGGGGGGGGGGGGGGGGGGGATGCACAGTGTGTCCCTGGGGCTGAGAGCTGTGCTGTCCCACTGTGCTGAGGGATGAACAGGTCCTGGCTCCTGCAGCTGCCATCTACCCCTCCAGCTGTGTTTGTTCTGCCCAAGAAACATGCTGAGGGGGGGGGGGGGATGGATAGAGGAGTGACCCATCCTCACTTCTCTGTCATCGTCTCCCTCACCAGGTCCGGTTACAAACGCCTTCATAGTGCTGGCTCCAGCCAACATGCTCAACCCAGATGGGAAACCCAGCGTGCCTCTTCCTAAATTCAGCAAGCACCTCTATGGCACTGAAAGCACTGATGAGCAAAGCAGCGAGGGAGTGACGCTGCGCCTCGGGCTGCACCAGCAGGTACTGGGCAGGAGGAAGGCACTGGGGGGGAGGGTTTGCATGGGGGGATGCAGGATTCTCCCTCAGCTTGATGTCTGCAAACGGTCAGCAGCTCCTTGGGGTCTGGTGAGCTCCCCTCGTGCCACTGGGGAAGGACCTGGTGCACTTCTTGTTTGTGGAGTAGTGCACAATGGGCAGTGAGGGTTCCTGCAGTGGTAGATTGTAGCTCGATGGCTTAGAGTGAGGCAAAGGATAGGGCTCACAGGGCCTGAGCTGACTGGAGCATTCCCAGCTCCTGGGAAAGTGTGGGCCTGTCCCTGCACAGAACTGTGTCCCATGAGTGCTTTCCTTTCCTCTCTCCTCTCTCTGCCTTCTCTGGTGCTGCTCAGCTTCCCCAGTTCCGTTTCCTAAAGCTGTTGGACTGCCCTGACAGGGAATTCGAGTCCTTCTGTCAGACACTGCCCCTGCTCTCAGCTGCCCATGGGCTGCTCTTGGCTGCAGGAGAGTCACTCCAGGTCTGAGGCACTGCAGGGCTCTGGCTGCATCCCCTGGAAGCCCCCCCTGTGCCAGCTGTGGTGGCATGGAGGAGCTGGAGCTTTGCTGCACTGAGTCCTGCATGCTGAGATTCTCTACTTGAGCATCTTTTCTTTCTCTTTTTTTTTTTTTAAACCAGAGGCTTTTCCCCCACTCCATAAAGTCCATTCTCCAATGCAGTGAAATCCATTCTCCCTCCCTTTGTGCTCCCCTTGCAGTCCTGGCTGGTGCAGTCATTTGTCCTCCCTGCCTGGTGCTGTGATATGGGCTCTCTCTGCTGTATGTCAGTGCTGAGCCCCAGCATGGCCATCCTCAGGCACAGGGGCTGTCCTGTGCCATGAATGTTCACGGGCTCACTGCCATACCAGTCTGTCTGTCCCTGTCCTGTTTGCCAGCAGCCCCAGAGCTTTTCCCTCCTCTATCAGCATCTGTCCCTGGGAGAAGTGACAGCACTGTCCCTGCTGATGGATGAGCTCCATGCAGCGCAGTGTCAGCCCAACCAGGAGGGGCTGTTTGCCTGCAGCTCAGCAGAGGGGCTGGAGCTGATTTGGAAATGTCAGCATGCCAGCAGCATGGCACTGGGGGGAGCAGCAGTAGTATAATAAAACCAGAGCCTTGTGCTGTCCTCCAGGCTTCCTCTGCTGTCAGACCCCTGCATTGGCACCCTCAGAGGGACATTTTTGGGACCCCTCCCCAAGCACAGGCTTTCTGTTTTGAAGAGGGGTTGCAGCCATGCTCTGCTGCTTCTGCAGCAAAGGATATTGGCCATACCCATGGCATTGCTTCCTTTTTGTTTTGCTGAGTGGAGGGGACAGGGGGCATCTTCACCTTCCCCACAATGTGCCCTGTGCTGGGGCTGCTGAGGGAGGACCCAGGTCTTCTGTATCAATCGTTTCCATCTGGTCCTTGCAGGAGTCTGGGGAGAGCTATCTAGAGAAGGCTGAGAAGATGTACTCTCAGATGTGCTCAACGAGAGAAAAGGTGAGAGCTGCTCTGGGGGGAAAAAGGGGTGGAGAGGCACTTCCTCCCGAGCCAGATCCCTCCAGGGGTCCTATGGTAGCAGAGCTGTTCCTCAGGGTGCTGTGCAGAGCTGGGATGGGGGAACAAATCCTGGAATCCTCTGACGGTGTCGGAGGGACTGCAGCTTTTGGATGGGAGATGAAGAAGGGAGGGGGTTAAATGGTTTGAGATGGACCGCTGTCCTGGTGAGCACCAACCTCAGCTTGCTAGAACTGAGCTCCAAGTCCTTGAAGTTCTTCTGTCACGTTTTTCTGCCACAGAACCTGATGGGAGACCAGGAGCATCTGACGATCCAGGTGAGCGAGCTGGAAGAGGAGGTGAGCACCCTCCGGAAAATCAACAAGAACCTCTTTGACTTCTCTGCTCGCATCATCACCAAGCCAGCCAAATGAGGAGGCAACCCCCAGCCCTCCCCCCCCCCTCTGCCTCTTTCTGCCCAGCTCCTGGGGAAGAACAGCCAGCCTATGGACACATGCAGATGGGCAAGCACGTGTGGCTCGCATCCTCACCAGCGCCTGTCAGGCCACGTAACACACAAAGGAGCGTTTGCCTACTCCCTCTGGCATCCCTTTGACCACACAGGACTGAGATGGGGCACGGGGGCTGTGGGGCTGCATGTGGTCCCAGCTGGCTGCCTGCAGGATGGCACGGGGATGGGGCTGAGCAGTGCAGCTGCAGTGCAGACAACTGCGGGCAGAGCGTCCCCGGCTGCGGTGCCCTTCAGGATGCAGCTCCTGCTCTTCTCCTCTCTCTTCCCCTGGCCTTTTTATGTTTCTTTTTGTTACACGACCCTGCGGCGCAGACAGAAAATTGGGTTTTCACCTCTCTGAATGCCAGTTTGAGATTGGATTTTAGAGACACCTTCTGCCCACCCCTGGCTGGGAGATGCTGCTCACTGGACCCTTTGCATCCCGGACCCCACTTGGGGTTTGGTTTGCTCCCATGCAGCGGGGGCTGTGCAGCTCCTGCCCTCTCATGGGCACCCCCAGCCATCAGTGGGGGCACTGAGCCTGAAGCTGTGGGCCCTGCACCCCTCGGGGGGGGCTCTGTGTGTGTCTGGGCAGGGGAAGCATGGTGCTATTTCCGATCTCGTATGTTGACAATTTATATATATTTGGATCCAGCTATTTTGTTTTCCACGGTGTTCTGGGGAAATCAGCCTTTTGTATTGTCACTAGCATGGCAGTGGGGGTGTTGTGGGTTTTCTTTAGGTTTATTTTTTACATAAAAGATTTGTTTTTTATAGTGAAAACTGCCTGAGCTTTCTCTTCTCCTCCCCCCCCTCCAGTCACTTGCCATTGCATACTCAGTGGTGCCAGCAGGGAGGTGAGTTCTCATTCCTTCAGAGTCACTGAGCCATCACTCCCTGAGCCTCCAGCAGCCCCCAAACCACCCCCATGCCCCAGATTTGTGCTCCTGGAGCACAGGGTGCTGTGGCAGAGGGGTCACATTGCAGCAAGGAGCAGCAGTTGGCAGCTGTATTTCCTGCTGCCTTCCTCCCACCACTTTGTCCTGCAGCCCCCGGGGGCTTTTTGGGGCTGGAATAGGGGCACAGTGTGTGGGATCTCAGGGCACTGCTGTCCCCGTTTGCCCCAGCATACCACAACTGATTTAAAGTGCACTTTAATAACACAAGTAGCCGTGCAGCTTGTTCTCATGCCAGCTCGTTTAGATAATGCTTTTAGCTTAATAAGCCACATTTCTCTTTTTCTCTCTCTTCCCTCACTCCTTCCCTTATGACATTTTGGATCGACATTGATCAACTGCAGCACGGAGCAGCACGCAGAGCCCGGGCTTTGCGGGGACGGCCCCAATCGCCCCGGGGCTGCATTGCTTCGAGCAGAGCTCCGCTCGCAGCCTTCCACCTCCCTCTGCTCCACCTCCCTCTGCCATTCGGGCCCCGCACAACGACCCTCCCGTGGGCTCACACGGGGGTCTGGAGCTGCGGGGCTGCTCTTTGCCAGGGCTGTCCCAGCTCCCTCCCCCGCTCTGATCTCCGCTAAGGGAACTCATTAGCTCTGACTCATTACATTTGTCTGATGATCAATATTTTTGCCAGCTGCTCCTTGGCTTTCTCGTTCGTTTTCTTTTCCTTATTAATGTAGTGCAGCCTCTCCATCCCCACCTCCCCGGCAGCGCAGCGTTCTGGCATCGAGCAATCCTCGCACCGCACCGCACCGCTCCTCATTTTCAGGCTCTCCGCTTTGCCCCGCGACGGTTCCAGGATGATCCTGGGGGGGATCCGGGGGTCCCCTCCATCCGATTCCGAGGGATGCGCGTCCCCACCCGGGTGCTGCGGGGCGGGCGGGGCTCAGGAGGCCTCCCGGCGGCTCCGCTCCCCCCCTCCGCGCTCGGAGCTGCGGGGCCGCTCCCGCTCCGTCCCGTCCCGCCCCGCCGAACGGAGCTGCCCCCGCCCCCGTCCCGCCCCGTCCCGCCCCGTCCCGGCCCGACGGGCGCAGCGCGGGGCCCCATGGAGGGGCTGCGGGCGCTGTGGCTGCTGGCGGCCGCGCTGGGGGCTGCGGGGGGACACCCGCATCCCTGCCGCGGTCCGAGCCGGCCCGGCCCCGCCGTGCGTCTGGGAGCGCTGCTGCCCTCCGCCTCCTCCGGCCCCGTCCGCGCTGCTCTGTCCGCTGGGGGTCCCGGGGGGGGTCCCGGGGCGGTGCTGCCGTACAACCGCAGCCTGGAGGTGGTGGCGGGCCGTCCGGCGGCTCGGGATCCGGCCTCGCTGTTGCGGTGGCTGTGCGGGGCTCTGCTGGGGCGAGGCGTGGCGGCGGTGCTGGCCGTGCCCCGATCCCGCCGCGAGCTGCTCCAGATCGACTTCTTCGCCGCGGCTTTGCGCGTTCCCTTCGTCAGCGTCGTCGGCAGCGGCCGCGCTCCGCCGTTCCGCTCTCAGGTGAGTGCCCGTCCCGGAGGGACCCGAATTGGGAGCGCTCGGTCCCGGCCCCGCACCCCGTCTCCGCTGTAATCCCGTCCCGGCTCCTCTCCGCCATCATCCCGGCTCCGTCCCACCCCTATCCCTGCCGACCTCCATCCCCAGCCCTGCTTCATTCCAGACCCCATCCAAGCCCCAGTCTCCACCCTTATCCCGGCTCTCATCTCGTCTCTGTCCCAGCTCCATCGTGGCCCCCATCCTGGAGGAGTCAATCAGGGCTCCTCAGCTTCATCCTGGTCTCCATCCCTCCCTTGTCCTGGCTCTTTCCCAGACCCCATCACAGCTTTGTCCCAACCCAATCCCACTTCCCAGTCCAAGATAACCTAGGATGTGTGATGTCCGCGCTCTCCCATGCCAGATGAGCAGAGCTCCAGCCCTGTGCCCCTGGGGGTGGATTTTTCCCCTCCCTTCCCTTAGCTGCCTCCCCTCTGGAGTCAGATCCCGTCCGCTTGGGGCCGTCATCCCCTTCATAGTCTCAGGAGCATTTGGGCTCCCTTCACCTGTTGTAGGGCTCGGCCACAGCTCTGCTCCATTGCTGGCAAGGTGACTCCATGTCCCAGCATGCAGCGGCTGTGCCACTCTCAGTGCTGGCTGTGTCCTCACAGTGCCTGCATGGGGCTGGGGGCCACACACAGCCCATGGTGCTGGCAGCCCCCACCCTCCAGCAGGGGCACTGGGCGCTGCTCCTCAGCACTGCACCACATTCATGGGCTCCGCACGCCTGCAGTGCTGCATCAGCAGCGGGGAGGTGGGGGGAGCCACAGCCTCAGTCCATGCTGCTGCCGGGAGTGGGATGGGACACACAGCAGAGGGTCACCCACTGCCCTCTGTGCCCACAGAGCCCCTTCCACTTCCACATGGACCGGCAGAGCTCGCTGGAGACGCTGGCAGAGGTGCTGGCAAGCATCCTGCAGGCCCACGAGTGGCGCGAGGCCACGCTGGTGCTGTGCCGCCCCTGGGATGTCACCGCCTTCCTCGACCGTGCACAGCTCTCCCTGCACACTGTGCTGGATCTCCGTTGCCTGCACGAGCCCAGGGCTGAGCGGTGCCTCCGACAGCACCGGGAGCACCTGGGATCCCTCTCCGGCCCCACGTTGGTGCTGGGCTGTGACCTGCGCCGCGCACGGCGGCTCTTCAGGGCGGCGGAGCGTGCGGGGCTGCGGGCGCAGGAGGTTTGCTGGGTGCTGGGCTCCCCGCTGCACGCCGCTGAGCTGCAGGGTGAGGGGCTGCCCGGGGGGCTGTTGGCCTTTGGGGAGGTGGGCGCTGCACCGCTGGAGGCCTTTGTGCATGATGCAGTGGAGTTGGTGAGCCGTGCCATCAGCAGCGCCGCCGCTGTGCGCCCCGACCTCGCGCTCAACCCCCCCATGATGAACTGCAACGACCACAGCGGGGACAGCACTGAGTCCTCAGGGCGCTTCCTGACCCGGTGAGCTGCTGCTCCATCATCCCCCTGCCCATCCCTCCCCAGCAAAGACCCCTCCGTGACCCCCTGCTCCCCACAGGTTCCTATCCAACACATCTTTCCACGGGCAGACGGGGTTGGTGCGGGTGCAGGACGGGACGCGGGTGCAGACGGAGCAGCAGTACCGCGTGTGGAGCCTTCAGCGTGACCTGCAGGGACGGCCTGCCTGGGTGACAGTGGGCACGTGGCAGCACGGCAAGCTGCGGCTGGAGGAGGGCGCGTGGCAAAGCCACCTCCAACGCAAAGCACCCCCCGAGGGGAACGGCGGCACGCGTGTGCGGCTGCGGGTGGTGACGCTGGTGGAGCATCCCTTCGTTTTCACACGAGAGGTGGATGAGGATGGGAGCTGCCCCGCTGGGCAGCTCTGCCTGGACCCCGGCACCAATGACTCGGCCGTGCTGGATGCGCTCTTTGAGGAGCTGAGCGCTGAGAACGGCTCTGTGCCACGGGAGTACAAGAAGTGCTGCTATGGGTACTGCATCGACCTGCTGGAGCGGCTGGCTGAGGACGTGCCCTTCGACTTTGAGCTCTACATTGTGGGCGATGGGAAATATGGCGCGTGGAAGAACGGGCGCTGGACGGGGTTGGTGGGGGACCTTCTTAGTGGCACAGCCCACATGGCCGTCACCTCCTTCAGCATCAACTCAGCGCGCAGCAAAGTCATCGACTTCACCAGCCCCTTCTTCTCCACCAGCCTGGGCATCCTGGTGAGGACCAAGGACACGGCGTCGCCCATTGGGGCCTTCATGTGGCCCCTGCACTGGACCACGTGGGTGGGCATCTTCGTGGCCCTGCACATGACCGCACTCTTCCTCACCCTTTACGAGTGGAAGAGCCCCTACGGAATGACCCCCCACGGCCGCAACCGCATGAAGATCTTCTCCTACTCCTCAGCCCTCAACCTCTGCTACGCCATCCTCTTTGGGCGCACCGTCTCCAGCAAGACGCCCAAGTGCTGCACCGGCCGTTTCCTCATGAACCTCTGGGCCATCTTCTGCCTCCTGGTGCTCTCCAGCTACACGGCCAACCTGGCGGCCGTCATGGTGGGCGAGAAGACCTTCGAGGAGCTCTCGGGCATCCACGACCCCAAGGTGGGAGCTCTGCTTGGCTGCCTCATGGGGGTGGGAGGGACAGGATGGGGCTGGGTTTGCCCTATGGCTGTTCATGGGGGTGTCCTTACCGGACCCCTTGTAGGAGCTGCTGCTTCACTGGGGGGTCCCAGCCCCTCCTGCCCAGTGCCCTCGACCCATGGGGGGGTTCTGACACCATGGTGCCCCTTCCAGCTGCACCACCCCTCGCAGGGCTTCCGCTTTGGCACCGTATGGGAGAGCAGTGCCGAGGAGTACATCAAGAAGAGCTTCCCCGAAATGCACGGGCACATGTGGCGTTACAACGTCCCCACCACCCCCGCCGGTGTCACCATGCTCAAGTGAGGGTCAGGAGCACGGGGGGGGAGGGGGCGACCCTCCCGTTCCCCCCTCCCTGCACACCCTGGGGGAGCGGCCCCCCCTGAACCCCCTGCATTGGCGCAGGACAGAACCCCCCAAGCTCAATGCCTTCATCATGGATAAGTCCCTGCTGGACTACGAGGTGTCCATCGACTCCGACTGCAAGCTGCTCACCGTGGGGAAGCCTTTTGCCATTGAAGGTGGGCAGGCGCACAGCGCTGTGGCCGCGGGGGGGGGGGGGGGGGGGGGGGGGGGGGGGAGGGATCCCTGGGTACTGGGGGCTGTGCGCCCCGGTCCCAGCGCTGCCTCTTTCCCCCCTGCTGTGGGGGCCAGGCTACGGCATCGGCCTCCCCCAGCACTCACCACTGACCTCCAAGCTGTCAGAGTTCATCAGTCGCTACAAATCGGCCGGTTTTATGGATCTGCTGCACGACAAGTGGTACCGCATGGTGCCCTGCGGGAAGCGCGTCTTCGCCGTCACCGAGGTGGGGCAGCCGGATCTGGAGGG